AATAGGACACAAACCCCGATGACATGAGCGGCGCCCGTCTTAGCGGCAAACATACTGAGAATACCGGTGCCGCAGCCGATGTCGAGCACCACCTTATTCTTGAAGAGGTGTTTGTTGTGAATCATGGCATTCCTATAGGTAAGGGTGCGGACCTCATCCTTCAGCATCTCCTCGTGTATGCCGTAGTGGGCGTATGAGTCGAAGTAGTAGTCTTTGGATGTCATCTCTTCGGTGGTCACGCCGTTCATCACAGCCTCGGTCTTGCATTTGTCGCACAGCAGTGGCCCCGACTTCGAGGAATGGCTCGACGCGGCCAACGAGTTCAGCGCCGGCTTCTTGTCGATGTGGTTGTGGGAAGGGATCGAAGGGCTGGCCATCACCTCAATCACCTCGTCGTCTTCGATGGTAATCGCGTTCGCGGCCGACGTCTGATGGGCCGGACTCTCACTCATCTGAAGAGATCCCAAGAGATGTCATCAATGAGTCCATACATACCACTCGCGTATCAAATGAAACATTACTTTCAAACTCAATGTCTTTGTTATCAACACTAAAATGAGTCCATTTTGGACCCGCTTTTAAGACAACTAATTGTCATTCAAATGGTTTGAATGTAGCGTTCATTTGGTTACAGGAGTGTTGACTGCATTCAAGACAATGCACTGAATGTCTCAATACTCACATCGACTTCATTGACCAACAAATCAGACATTTTCTGGGATCCGATGCTCGTGTCGATTAAGCCGTCAATGAGTGTGGAGTTAATGACAAACAATGAATGCTTGGATTGAATGGCAAATCAAATGAACTCAATGCTCGACTCGATCATCAAAATAGTGAACAAATAAAACACGTGTTTAATGAGTGAAACACAAAGCATTCATTGCATTCACAGCCTATTCCGTGCCGTCGTATAGCAATTACGTCCCATTTGTGGGTGAATTGCATGAAAGCGGTTATTACACCCAACGCCCACCTTATTCGAGATGTTTAGATATGCTTTCACTGCAACACACTAATGCTATTATCTATTAGACAGTACACCACTGAATACATTAATATATGCTTTGCAGAGAAGGTTATGAATGCATCAAAGGGGCGCTTATATTATGATCATACGAGATGTAAGACAATGAAATTGATTGGAAAGACATATCCAATAGTTTAGAAGTTTTTACAAACTTGTAAGTTTGAGTGAATTGTACTGGATAACCTTATAACTTTTAAATTATAAGACCCACTATTAAAATAATAGTTAACTACTAGATATTGGCTTTTGTATGAATGAAAGCTCACAATACAGTCTGAGATTCTGTCATTTTATAGACATTTGTATGAATTCTTGTGATAGCAGTCTGTCTGTCTAACTGTAAGGT